TTTTTTTCAAATAAATTCTCTAATCAGTTGGCTCTAGTAGCGAGCTTCTTCTGTCCTCATTTAGTGCAACACATCGCTTAGCGAAATGAATTGCTCCTCTAGTACAAAACTTTGCTTCCATGAAAATACATATTTCGCCCGTCCGACATACTTCCTGCCATAAATGCAATTTTGAGGCTGAAAGCTTTATTGTACTTTGTATAAAACTTATATCTGCAAAAATTGATAGGCAGGTGCCAAAATTAGCTGCGGATTTTTTGCTTTTAAATACCATCTTTTGGTTTATGTTAAAAGGCTGCGAAATGCCCTTTGCTTTTACTACTCGTTTAGTAAATCTACACATTCAGCGCTACTTCCTTTTATGTTCACAATTTTTAAATGGTGCCTCTAAGTCATCAGAATCGCAAATTCCGTGTGGCAAACCATACGCAGAGTATTACGAGAAAAATGAATTAGAACCACAGTTCAAAATTCTACTTCTTCTGTTGGTTGTTCTGGATAGCTCTTCCTTTCTGCGCCTCGCCGACCTTTTCTGCCCAAATCAAAACAAGGCCAAAATGCATAGAGATAGCTAGCTTTATCAAAAGGTATAAAGTCCGGGTCAAATCTTTCTTTAGTTCAAACTGCAAATGAACCGGTCACTAAAAGCATTTACTTCGAACGTCCTCAATGTTACAGTCCCGTCAGCACACACGCAAATCTCAGCAATAAAAAGCGTATTTAGTTTAAGTTTAACGCCCATGAGCAGCAAATGTAATAGTTCAAACGAAAAACATGTCCGAAGAAGGCTCGCGTAAACGCTCGAAACACAATCTCAAGTAATGATGTTGGTTAACTCACCATAACTTCGCTATCCGGGCATTCATGAAGATCATATGCTTGACATCTCCCATTCACAACCTAAAGAAAACTGTCTACTGCAGTAAAATTAGAAAAGATGTGAGGGTCCTAAGCAATCTGAATTATTATTTTCTGCACAAAAGTATCCTTGTTTAATTGATGTTTTGCCAAAAAATGTTAAAATTTCACAAACAAAATTACATTTTTTTATAATTTTATTGTCAAAACAAACTGTCATTCCAAAAGGGCAAACGCATTTTGCCGCATAATCGCATATTGCGTTTCGAGGACACTGTTCACTGACAAGGCACGATTCGTTGAAAGTAGCTAGCGTGAAGCAGCGATTATTCAGCAAGATCTGCAATGTGCTACAGAATTTTTTTTAACGTTTATCGTAAAAGTTCCGCCCACATATTACAATAAAAATTACCATTTTCCTTTTTCGCGGCCCAGCCCTCGTTTTTCAATAAACGACAAGACTCATGTAAACATTAAGCAATAAGATGTAAACAATAAGACTTAAATCTTCACAGAATAATAAAGGGTGTTTGAGTTGCTGCCAGAAGGTGCAGTGGAAATGCCTTGATTGTTTACTGACACCAACTGGCATTTTTGATCGGATTTTTGGATTGACTCGAATGGACTGAATCTATGTCATGAGACTGTAGA